CCCCCCCCCCTTCTCTCTGTCTCCCCTTCCTCTCTCGGTCATATGCTTGCTCATTCTTGCTCTTATTTTCCAGAGGTTTGTGTGTGAGGTCTTGATTTGGCATGGTTGGAGGAATGCTGTTGAGTAATCAATCATTGGAATGTGTTTGCGAAATTGCGCCTGACTGACTGACTGACTGACTGACTGACTGAATGGGTAAATCAATGAACTGACAAATGGATATGTGTTTGTTATGGATGATAGGGGTGCCATGTTGTGCAAAGAATGCCAAGCATTCATCGAGCATGCGGAATGGCTTATGAGAACTGGTGGCGGTACGAGAAAGTATGGTTCAGCGTGCAAAATGCGTCCCTTGACGTGGCCAACGGAGAGTCGTGGTGCTGAGTATCTTAGACATGGACGTGGGTGGGGCTGGCCCGCTATTGCACGTGATGGGGGTGGTGCGAACGCCGAGCTGCAACTTTCAAATTCTGCTCCCGAATGTGATGTCCGATGGCACATGCCAATGAAAATAAGTTGGTTTCATAAGAGACCCGGCCCCGAGTGGCCGCCGATTGTATCGATGATGGGAGAGAGAGGATTCTCGGACAAGCAAATGCAGCACGTCCCCGCTAGGCGGCCGAGGGTTGTGTGCACATCGATGATGGAGGACAGGGGGGAGACGCTAGGTAACGAAGTGCAGTATGTTCCAGCTGCGCCTGCTGCGGACACTGAGAATGACCTGTCATTCGATCAAGAAGAGCTGCCTGCGATGCAGAGTAGAGAGGAAGAGAGCTTGATGGGGGTGGTGGAATGGGATAGTGAAGTTCAGATGCATAGAAGGGCAAATATTTCGCATTCATTTGCGTCTGCTATCGGGGTTGGGGAGATGGCGGGAGGAGCAGAGTTGAATGTCGAGGCCGCCGAGTTCCGCAGCGAAGGGCTGACAGGGGAGTCGACAAGAGGCGAGGGTGGTGCCGCTTTCGATGGGATGATGGAACCATTAGGAGCATGGTCTCGCGAAGATGAAGAAGAGGCTATTGGGGTCAGGGTCTCTGGACTCGGAGCAGACACAATGACGGAGGAGGCTAGAGAGAGCGTGTGGTGGATGCCCAAGGAACGTGAGGGTGTTCTGATTGTGGACAGCGTGGAGATGGCTAGAGAGGCAGTTCGGCTGCTCATGGATAGACACTGTGACCGTATCCATGCATGCGATACAGAGGTGAGTTTGAATGACTCCTCCCAAACTCATATTAACTTGAATGACTTAATTGCAACTCACCACTGTACGATGCGGTTAAGCGTCTGTCCATAAGTCTTCTGCAAAAAACTGGATTGCCAAGATGGAGGTGGAATCTGTAAAGTTTTGAATGTGCCACAATCATCAAACATGCAAAAAAACTCTTCAACTGCACTCTTTTTTTTCCTATTTAAGAAGGGGAGTAGTCCCTTGCATCATTGTATCCATGGAGATTCAACTTCCTGATCTGTTTGTCAACAGTTACAACTGCAAATTAGAGCTGTGAGGTCGTCTCCCTACATCCTTTAAGGAGGTCGATTCTCTCATTGACATTTGTCATTGCCTTGTTCCTAATGGATCTCCTCTCCGCTTGGCTACCTTCCTCCCCCTCCTCCTCCCCTTCCCTCCCTTCCCTCCCCTTCTCTTCACTCTCCTCTCTTCCCCTCCTCTCCCCTCCCCTCACAGGTTCCCTCCCCTCTCCTCCCCTCTCCTCCCTCACGGCTTCCCTTCCCTCTCCCCCCTTCTCCTACCCTCCGTGCCCTTCTCCTCTCGTTTGCTCACCTCTCCTCCCCTCTGCCCCCGTTGTTTCTCTTTCCTCCTCTCACGTGGCTTATCTGCCAAGCTGCTGCGGCATGCGCACGACTTTGGTGATTGATGCGAGGGCTAGGGAACCTTGCTCTTGTAGCCTCCCTATGCGGTGGCATGTCGCCGAAGCATATGGTACACCTTCTATTTGTGTTTGTCACACCCTCTGTTTGGGTTTGTCACACCTTCTGTTTTGGTTTGTCACACGTTCTGTTTTGGTTTGTCACACCCTCTGTTTGTGTTTGTCACATCTTCCATCTCTGTTTGTGTTTGTCACATCTTCCGTTTCGGTTTGTCACACCTTCTGTTTTGGTTTGTCACGCCTTCTGTTTTGGTTTGTCACACCTTCTGTTTTGGTTTGTCACACCTTCTGTTTTGGTTTGTCACACACCTTCTGTTTTGGTTTGTCACACCTTCTGTTTGGGTTTGTCACACCCTCTGTTTCGGTTTGTCACACCTGTTTGTGTTTGTCACACCGTCCGTTTCGGTTTGTTACATCTTCTGTTTGGGCTTGTCACACCTTCTGTTTGGAGTTTGTCACACCGTCTGTTTTGGTGTGTCACACCTTCCGTTTCGGTTTGTCACACCTTCTGTTTGTGTTTGTTACACCCTGTGTTTGTTGAACTGCAGGTGACAAACATCGATATCAAGAATGAGAGCCCTGTAGGGCATGGGGAGGTGATCTGCTTCTCCATTTACTGTGGGCCGGGTGTGGATCTTGGGAACGGGAAGAGTTGCATCTGGGTGGACGTGCTAGATGGGGGTGCGGAGGTGCTTCAAGAATTCAAACCCTATTTTGAGAGTGCAAACATCAGGAAGGTGAGGTCAATTCATCTGTTTTCTTTCTGGGGATCTTCTCACCCCTTCCCCCCCCTCTCCATCCCCCTTCTCTCGCCTCAAAGTTCTGGATTCAAACGAGGAAAAATGATCTTTAAAGTTCAAAAAAATTGAACTAATGCTGGTTGTGAGGGGAGCATATGATGGATTAACTGGATGGCATTTGTGGAGGTGCTGCAGAGCTCGCAATCGCCCTTCTATTATTCATAGACGTGTTGGCTTGCGTTCTTGTGCCTGGCAGTTAGAGCTTGAAAAAAATCAAGCTCTAACTGCTTCATGCCGATGCGCTGCTGACGTAATGCATTGCCAAATGCGCAAAACAAATTTCTGCATGTGTATGTGTGAACATGACCGTTGTGTCTCGCTGCATGAACATTCACATGTATGCGAACTTGTGGTCAGGTAAATTCTTTTCTGGCCATTACATATCAGCAGAGTTGGTCGGCTCATTCCATATCAGAGATGTGCCGGTCATCTAGCTGATATGTAATCGGCGAACCGCTAGACGGAACACGATGGGTATCTCGTCTTCCCCAACTGTGCATCATGCGGATTTCGTTCGACAAGCTGAATGTGTTTGCATGAGGGTGTCCTCTCACTGGGACTTTATTGCATGTATCTGACTGCAGTTACCACCAAATTCAGGCACAATATTTCACATGACAATGATGCGGTCAAGCCAAAAAAAAAAGCCAAGGACATTCTGTGGGGAAAGGGAGAGAGAGAGAGAGAGAGAGAGAGAGAGAGAGAGAGAGAGAGAGAGAGAGAGAGAGAGAGAGAGAGAGAGAGAGAGAGAGAGAGAGAGNAGAGAGAGAGAGAGAGAGAGAGAGAGAGAGAGAGAGAGAGAGAGAATGCTGTATGCCTAAAATTTGCAGGTGATCTGATGTCTTTTTCATAATTTCTTCTCTTTTGATTAGCTTTATGGAAGCCTCTTTTTATGGGCCATGTGCTTCACTATTTTCGAGCTTAACAAAAAAAAAAAGAAAAGATAATTTATGGGCAGAACAAGGTGGTGTAAATCCATAGAATGGGCACCTTTTTCTTTTTTGTCTGACTTGTTTCCCTTTCTCTCTGCTCAGCAAAATTGCTATACAATCAAATCCAGTCCTTTCAAGTAGGTTCCCAGTATTGCATCGACCTTTCTTTGGCTAATTGTTATTTTGTACATGCTGTCTTCTTCAGCTCTCCTACGTTTTCTGTGCTTTTGACTTTTTGCATTTCGGCTGCATGGTTTTATCTCGTGCTTCCTTTCTTTTTTTTGTAAAAATCCCTCCCTTGCAGCCATCTGCTGTTTTCTGTCCGAATTTCACTTGTCAGTTCTGAAGGTGACTCGCGTGTGACTTGTGTGTGCTATTCTTATGTGTGATGACTTGTGGATGCACTGAGTCATGTGCTATTGACCCGTGTAAGGTGCTGTTTTTTATTCACATATGTGCTATACCGTTCGCTATTCTTATGTCTAGCAAGTTATGTATCTACTGACTCGTGTGTTATTCTCTTGTGTATGTGCTATTCACATATGTGCTATATGCATATGTGCTATACACATATGTGCTATACTGTTCGCTCTATTAACTTGTGTACTGTACTGTCTGCAAAATTACAGACTCATGCAACTTATGCGTGTATGAACTCATGTGTTATTCGACTTATGAATTTTCTTAGTACTTGTGTGCTATTCGCTTCACTTACAGATGGTGCGACTAACTCATTATTTGCTGTACTGGAAACTTCACATGTCAATTTGTGAAGGTACTGGCTCATGTGACTTAATGTGTATGTACGGTGTGATGATGCTGGTGTGAGTAACTGCGGTCAGATACATCCACGAAAGTCCTAGTGCGAGTAATTGTGGTCAGATACATCCTGGAAAGTGCCGATCCTGTGGTTGACATTCCTGTGGTTGACATTCTTCAATGTGTGCGTGTGTGTGAGCTGGAGGGCATACTCACACTAGTGGATGTATCTTACCATGATTACAGCTGGACATGGATGCATCTGATCGTAATAACGGCCAGAGCCGAGTCAAAAAAGTCCTAGTGTGACTACGCGTTGAATGTGGCCTATGGAAGTGGGTGCAGCCCATGTGTGTGTGTGTGTGTGTGTGTGTGTGTAAGCTCTGTGCAGTTTGAGGTGACATATGTGAGGGGGTTCTGTTTATGTGTGTGTATGCTG